ATATATATATACATATAGGATGAATCTTTCCTGGGCTGGATTGGCCATACACAGTACTGAGTGATTGAGTATTTTGAGATTTGAGTATACGAGGTTCCACTGAAGTGCATCACATACAATATGTACATTAGCATATAGAAATAGAGATGTCATATTTCTCATATCATTTAGAATTGAGCTATTTTACTTGTACTGAGTTTAACTGTTGAACTTGAAAGTATGCCTACATTTCTATACTATTAAGGTCGGTTGTACTCATACTACACTTCTGCACCTTGCGTGCAGATTTCGGATGCTGATGTAGCTGCGTACAGCGATAGCTGAATCTGAAGATGTACCCGCGTCCCAGTTATTGATGCCTTTTGTTCATGGTAGCTTTAGAATTTTAATTTGTTCATTTATAATTCAAACAAATGACATATTTTTATTTCACACAAACTTTATAAATTCTGAATCTTAGAAGCTCATGATTTGTACTACTAGTCCATGGAGAGTGTATTAGAGTCAGTTAAATATTAATTGTATTGGATTGTGTTATTTGACTTATCTAGTAGGTGAGGTTAGGTGCCATCACGACTAATTGAATTTTAGGTCGTGACAAGCTACTTGCCAAACAAACAATATAACAGTGTATAATTACACTCAAATCAACCTACAATGTGGGTTTCCAAAGAGGCTCTCTATAGGAAATAAAGAACCTCTATAAAATATTTAAATTCTGAAGAAAAGTATATTTCAAAGGTCAGCAACATTCAAAATTTTATAGGTTGTGGACAAACCATTTTATTTTATGTGTTTTCGTTTGAAAAGGCGAGGAGTTTAAGAATAAAACATAATTTTTTAAATGTTGTGATTTGAAACTAAGAGATCCATCAAATATGTCACGTAATATTCATAAGAGTTTTTTTTTTTTTGGAAAAGTATTTAGCAAAATCCGCAGATGCTATGTTTCGGGTGCGCACCAGGTAATCTGATCACTATGCAATAGCTCGCAAACCACATAAGAGTTGTAAATCGTATTAAGCAAGTCCGGTGTGACGAACTCTAACTGAGGAGGCTGATGGTGAAGGGAATCGATCCCGGATCTTTCATGTGGAAACACACTCACCCAACCATCTAAGCTAACCATTGCCGGCTATATAAGAGATTATTATTAAGGGTCAAACAAGACTACTGGAATTAAATATTATTTGATATAAAAATAAACAAATTTTTTGTTACAAACTGGAAAGTAATGTAAAAAACATACATTAAAATTGAGGGAATAAGGAATTTTCTTTACTTAGTTATGTTATGGGAGAACTTTTGCCGGATAATACAATTTAACTTTTAAATTTATTATACTTGTTTCTTGTTGATGTATTTTTATAGTTCATAGTTATGTCCATAGAAATCCGTTAGCTCCCATTTGGCCATAGATTTTATCTTAATTTTTTCATAATTTTTTTTAAAATATTATTTGTTTATGAAATATGATCATCTTTAGGGAAAATATTTTTTAAATTTCCAAAAACTTGTTTACGGTAGTTTTTGTGTGAAAACTTTCTTCCACTCACAAAATTTTAACTTTTCTTTAAATAAAATGCAGGTTCAAATACAATTTCAACTTTCAAAAATTATTTTTCAACACAACTTCAAAAACTTTTTTTTTCAAATTTCAATTAAATCTATGTCCAAACGCTAGCTTAGTTTTCCGAAAAAGATGTTCAAAATATTAGTATTTGATTATACCGTGAAATAATTTTTAATTTTTGAAAAAGATGAGTTGCAAAGTTTGAAAAGGTGATTTTATCATTTTTTCGAAATGAACAATGTTTTCTCCACACAAAATTACGGCAATATTTTTCAAATAAAATGTATGTTCAAATATTATTCAATTTAAGTACATTTTTTCATCTTAATTTCAAAAATCAATTTTTTCAATTTTCACATTCTTATGTTAAAATACCTATTTTATTTACTTATTTATTTATTTTTGACGATGGAGAACTTTTTCCGGAGAGAGCTTATGCACAATTTGATGCATGGTAATTAGGAAACAAAAAATAAGGGAGCGAGAAGATAAACAATTGTATTCCCGTCCATTCATTACACACAATTAAAATGGATAGAGACATAAAGCAGCAGGTTTCCGGTACGAAGGACGAGGGAAGCAACTGCTGAGCGCTTGACACGTGTTCACATAACAGCCGACAGATTGGAATGTTATTTTCTTAGAACCATTCGATTCAGAGGAACACTGGTAATTTGGTAGAGAGAACAGTGAGAGAGAGCACTAGTAAAAGCGCATCACTTTACAACTATCGATCGTTTAAGTCTGAGTTATAGTTTAGTTTTAGAGAGAGAGAGAGACAAAGAATGGAATGGGAGGGTCTGTATGTAAAGACTTAAATTAGTGTGTGTGTGTGTGTGTGTTTGCAGAACAAAAAGAACAGAGAGGAGAGAGAGACGTTTGCTGCTTTTTTGGCCATGGCGGCGTTGCAGAGTTGTAAGTCTACTGCCTCTTTAATGCTCCACAACACAAGCCACAAAATAGAAGCCTAAAAGCAAATCAAAGGACTTCGACTTCCCTCTCTTCGATTAATCTCTATCTCTAAAAGTCTTCCTTACCTTTGTCTGTCCCAAGAAAATTTAACAAAAGCTGCAACTTTTATCTAGCTACCAAATGCTCTCTTCCTCTCTCACTTTAACTCTTTCGCTGTCACGCGCTTATATAGTACAGACAAGAACTGTATTTTCCTTTTTTATTTTGTTTTAGCAGAGAATCAAGAGTGAGAAAAAAAAAAGACTTTGTTTTATTCTTTTCTTTTATTATTATACTCACAAATCAAGAAAAAGTGAAGGGGAGGTACCCATATCATTCTTGGGTCATAATCAAAGCCAGTGTTCGTGATCTGCTATGGATTGTCAGTCACAATTGAATTTTGGAAAAGTCTTAAAGGTGGCAACAAAATGGCTGGGTTCTTTTCACTAGGTGGAGGAGCTGCAAGTAGCAGCCAAGCCCAAGACCAGCAGCAGCACCAACAAAGCACTAATAATCCTCCCACTGAAATTAGTCCAGACAGTTGGTTCTTGTACAGAAATGATCAAGAGTTACCTACATACAGAGGCTTTGAGCTATGGCAAACTAGTAATTCCCAGCCCCAGATTCGGCACCCAATTAATCCGCTTCAAGATCTTTATCCCACCGCCGCTGTTGGATTAGGTGACGGGCCGACCCGCAGTGGCTTTACTGTGACTGCGACTCGGCCCGATCATGACCCTTCTTCAGGAGGATCGGGTGGATTGGTCATGATGAGAAGTGGGGGAGGTGGAATTAGCTGCCAAGATTGTGGTAACCAAGCGAAGAAAGATTGTGAACACATGAGATGTAGGACTTGTTGCAAGAGCCGAGGCTTTCAATGCCAAACCCATGTGAAAAGCACTTGGGTTCCAGCGGCAAAAAGGAGAGAACGGCAACAACAACTTACTACTTTACAGCAGCAGCAAGAAGAACAACAGCAGCAGCAGCAGCAACAGCAAACGCTGCAGCTGCACAGAGATAATATACCCAAAAGGCAAAGAGAGGATCCAAGTGCTTCCTCTCTTGTTTGCACTCGTATATTGCCTTCTAGTACTTCTGGTAAAGTTTTAGTCGTTCCTTCCTTAATGTATACACAGAAATATATATATACACAGTGTCGAGAAATTATATTGCCTAACAGTATCTTTTACAAAGTAATTCATGAGAACGATGTGAAGATTAAAAGAAACGAGTTTCCATTGTGGTAAAATAGTCAAGTCCACAGCTTTTGCTTTTTCTCTCTTTCTTCTCATCACTGTTTTTCGGTAATCCTGACAAAGAAAGGCGCTACTCTCTCTCTCTCTTCTCTCTTTCTTCTATGTGTTTTTGATATCTGTGTAAGCACTACACTTGCCTGCTTTTTTTCCCTCCATCTACGCAAATTCTTCTCTATTTATTCTTCAACTTACTGCTTACTCGTTGAGCCATGCTTAACTTAGTGTTTTTTTAATGTTCTTAGGGTTGGAGGTGGGGAATTTTCCAGCCAAAGTAAGTTCAAATGCCGTATTTCACTGCGTTCGGATGAGTTCGGTTGATGATGCGGAGGATCAATTCGCATATCAAACGGCTGTGAACATTGGCGGACACGTATTTAAAGGGATTTTATACGATCAAGGTCCTGAGAATCAGTACATGGCTGCTGGTGAAAGCTCGTCCGGCGGTGGAAGTGCTAGTCACCAGCATAACCTTATTGGTGCTGTGGGCACCGCCACGTCAGCAGCCACGACTTCTGCGAGTGGTGGCGGTGCAGCTGCAGCACCGGAAGCCTCACCTTATCTCGACCCTTCTTTATATCCAGCTCCCCTCAATACTTTTATGGCTGGTACGCAATTCTTTCCACCTCCAAGATCTTGATGACATGAGCTTCAATATTTTTCTACACACCGAAAATTTGACATTTTGACTTTTACTCTGTAATGGGATACTGTTATGTTAGTAGTAGCCGTTAAGGTTTGAAAATTCTAGGGAAAAAAAGGAGCACATGAAAGAAAAGGAGGGAATTGAGGGGATGATGTTTAGTTTTGAGTTCTAATTTCAATGCATAGTTGAATTGATTCCATCAGTTGTCTTAGAAATGTCCAATAAAGGCGCTCCTTTTATGCTGAAATATTGGCTTCTTGTTTTATTTTCTTTTCAAATTGTAAGCTATTCTTTTCCCCCTATATGCTCGTTTGAGTTTGACTAAAAGTCTATTTTTGGTGGAGATACATGAATTTAGGATGAAGTATGGTCTATAGCAATTTCAAATGACTTGTTTCAAGGGTCTCAAAACGGGATTCGAATTCCGAGAACAAACTGTGTTTGAGTTTTAGCAGGCCTTCGGTCATAAAAATTGTAAATTTTGCAAGTAGTGTTTAGAGTTAAGTCGAAAAATAACGTTTGAAATTTGAAATTATGTTTAGTGCATCTCACTTAAAAAAATGTTGCAATTTGTGTAAAGAGACTGAATTTTTACTTCTAAAGGTGATTTTCAAGTGGTAAAAGTTATTTTGTCAACCTTGAAACTCATCTTCAAATTTCTTCCCCTAAATTCAGTCCAATTTGATAACCAAACAATGATTTGAAAATATTTTTTGGAGAAAAAGAAGAAAAATTTATGTCTTAACGGCTACTTATTTTCCAATTGTGAAATACTTATCTGAACAGGTGAAAATAATTTAATGGATTTGAAAGCTCAAATTCCTAGCTGAATTTCGAATTTAGCTCCATTATCTTCTCCGTAAACGTGTAGTGTATTGCCTGCTCTATGAGAATGTTGTGACTTAATTTATTCCTTTGGTCAATCGACATTGTCAAACATCAGTGTAAACTTACTTGTTGTTACATTATTTATCATGTTGTGTGCGTAGTAGTTATTAATCTATACTACCCTTAATTAGAAGTTACTTTTATGTGATCAGTGAATTTTTTTTATACTGCCGGTGTAAACTACTCTAGTTAAACTATGTGGAAAGAGCAATGTTATCAGTTGCTACTACGTTATGTCCGTTATATCTTGAATGGAACTTTGTGTATATAAGAGATGTGACTAGCTTGCATGTAAGAAATGAAATGCTGTTTTTGATTGGTTCAGGTCTGATTAAATGCATATTGGCAGGCGCATTAAGTTTAAATTAATGTGCCATAAAGTAAATAGGAAAGTTTTTGTTAAGAGCATTTAAAACAAGATGCATCAAGGTGTTTTTCTGTTCTCATTGTCAATATCTACTTATGTGGTTACTGTGTGCAACAGATAAATTGAATAGTTTTCCTTCGTTTTGCATAATTTCTGACCTGTTGCCTGTTACTCTCTGATCTGAATTGAAGGGCTCTTTTGTTCTTCTCAGACTGTTTTTTTCTTCTGTTTTATACTGTCGCATCTATACTTTTCCTGGTTCATGAAAGTCTAGATATAGGTGTAAACATCCTCCACAACCTCAGGATTTTGATTATCTTATCATAATCCTTCCTCATTAACAACTATCTTCTTGATAGTGGAGTAATAAGTATGTAGTTAAAATCTTTCTCTTGGCTTAGGGATTAACTAAATTTTATTATCTATATGGATTAGTACATATAGTGTCTGTTTGATTTCTTTAAATAACCCAGATTCTTAGTTAGAAAATGGTGGAAAGCACAGCTTGAAATGTTTATAACATCAACCAACCCGGCGTAATCAAACAATAATGTATACGTAGCCTTATCTCTACCTTTCTTACACACTCTTGGCTCAGATGAAGCATAGTCACATCACTTCTCGGACACAAAACAATAATGTACAAATCATGGAAATGTGTAGTTAATGGTATTTAAAATAAAAACAATAATGTGTACACATTGATTAGTAGCCACTCCTATTTAAATGACCTTGTATCTTATGAGCAGAAATGACCGTATTCTTAGCTGGAAAAGTTAATACTCCGTATTTAAAGACGTTGATAGGTTAATTTAATTGTCGAACCATTAATTAAAAGCATTTAGGGAGACGTTAAAAGAATAGTAGTAGAAAAATAGAAAATCAAAAGGATGAGCAGTTCTATCCATTTTTTCAGATAAGAAAAGACGTAAAGTGTGAAATATATGTATATGTCCAAGACTGCAATGGATGTAGCAATGTAGAACACCTGTACCAGACCATTATTACATGACAAGATGGAGGGGACGTACATCAACAGGAAATATTGTCACTTTTTCCTTCTCTTCTTTTCACTCTCACACTCTATTGCTTTAGATAATGAAAGAAAATGTTGCTACTAATTACCTCCATTTTTTCTTTGAAGACACCCCGTGAAGCAGCAGCCGCTACATGGAAGCTGAGCTAATTATACCATGAATGTTAATTAGTGTGAAGTAATTTTTAGAGAATTAACGCAATATGACATATTGTAGAAGTTATATATATACTTGTCATATTTTTTTAAGGTTTTCTACTGATTATTTATAAAAATATTCTTTAATTAACTTGATATGGTACTGTAGATATTAAGTAAATAAAAGTTAAACCCTTATACTATGCAGAAAATAGTGTTTTGACATGCAAGAAGTTGCATTTTTACTATGACATTAAATTTGTAAAGTCACGCTAGAGTTTCTTTCCTAATTTGGGAGATGGAAAGATTCTTGGTAGATAGAAGTTAATTACTCCTATTATAACTACTAAGCTAGCATTTGGCCATAACTTCCTAAATTTATTCTGAAAAAATCTGATTTGGGTGAAGTTTGGTTTGAAGATGAAAATATGTTTGGACATTTGTTTTGGGTGAAGTTTGGTTTGGAAAAACATGAAACATGACTTATACTCACAAGTTTTAAAAATTATCACAAATACCCAAGAGTACAAAATTACCATTATCAATAACATTCATTATATTATCGCAAACCATAGTGCTGAACATAAATAAATTTAATACAAAATTATCATTTTTATAATGAACTACATGATACACTATCAGATGACCGAGAAGACGAAGCAACATCGTTACAAAATAATAAATGGTGGGTTCTTTTATAAAATACAAAAGTTTGGGGCAATTTTTAAAAAATATAATAGTGATATTTTGGTCCAAATATCACTATTTGGGATTTGAGATTTGGCCAAAGTGTAGGTAAAATCTATGACCAAACATGTGTTTTCCAAATAAAATCCAAGTTTATTTTAGCAAAATCTATGGCCAAACGGTCCTAACTGTTGCATCATTTGAATGAACTGCTTTCTCTCGGGATGATAACAAATACTTAATTGCTCATTTACTGCTATTGTTTGAATTTGAGTGTCATTATGTTATTTGAAATTTTAATTTGTTAGAGAGATCATATTTAATTACTTAATTAAGTTTGTGGGCTTAATTCTTTTTCATGAGTGAAGTGCATGGAATTTCATTTTTATAATGGGTAGCGGCGAGACTAGAACCTAGGACCTCTACCTCCTATGGTACTGTATAAGACTGAGGAAATCAATAGTATTTCACTGATAATACAAAACCAAGTTACAAGTTTGAATTCCATATTTTCTCATTTACATTGATATATTCTAACAAAATATACTAGAAGTATTGGCCAAGGCTAATTACAGAAATCTAGCTAGTGTGTGATTGAGGCGAGGCGTCTCTCATATGGAGTGAATGCTCTTGCAACTCCCTGTATTATTTTTGATGTACTCTGATGAAAAGGTTGATGGTAATTGATAATTGGATATACATATATATCTTGAGAATAGAGGTGTATAAGTGTACTTGGAATGTAAATATTTAGTCACGCACGCATTAACTGGTTATAAGATATTGCAAGATGTTGTTTATATGTGTAAACTCATAAAGGATACATTCGTAGTATGGTAGAATTCTTTATTTTATATAGACTAATAAGATTAAAATGTTGAAGAACATCCTTTTTTCGTATCAAATAACTCTTTCATTTGGTCCAGCATTGCACATATCTTGTCTAGATATATGAAAACCTTTATTCAGCTTAGACCTATCCTTTTTGTTCAAGTACATTTTTTGGACCATAGTCTACATGAACTATCTCATGTTAGTCTTTTAAATTTCAACTCCAGAATGTGATTGCATGTGCTTGTTGACCAAATCTCTATTGTAGATGGAGCTTTATAGGTATCCTCGTTAGCATATTTTGCACCTTCCCACCCCACTCCCTCTTCTCCCCCCTCACCCCACCACCCTTTCTTTTTTATTAAATTTATGCATCCACATGGATTCATTTTCAGGGTTTTAGAGTTACATTAATTAGCTCAGTAAACCAGATGCATGGAACGGAATTACATAGGAGATGCCTCACTGATTGAACTGCAATTCCCATCACTCTATTAATCTGCTAGCTTAAGATTATGCTACTTTGCATGTTTGTTTTACTGCGCGTTTCCACATGTAACCCCATTGCAAAATAAATTGAAGTAATTGCGAAAGAATCTAAGTCTCCAGTCTAATAGTTTAACTTATACATTTGATAACGGACAAGTGTAACATTCCTATCGCATATGTGCAAACTGTTCTAGGGTGTTTATGTATATTTATTTTTTGAGAATCTTTCCGAGGTTGAGGGAAAGAGAAAGTTCAACAAGAGTAGGTAGGGAATAGAGGAAGAGAGAATATGTGTTCTACTGGCTATTAAGTGGGACTGGAGTAATATTATTAGCTTGATCGATTGAATTGAGAGTGAGTGAGTGAGAGAGAGAGAGAGACAATCACAGCATTAAAACATGAGAAAAAGTAATGGAAAATTGAGTTTACCATAGTTTCATTGTGATATCGTATATGAAAGAAATTGAGCATAAATTTTTAAGGCACTGTGCGAAGTTGCCTTGGACCATTAAAACCTCTTTAATTTTGTTTGTTTGTTTGTTTTTTTACAAAATTCATAAGAGATAAGTGTAATATTCTCTGTTAGTATTAATGTCACAAATGTGTAGACTAGTTGTCAATGAGGTGCCGGATCCCGGAGTCCTGGTTCAAAATTTTGCGTAGATAAAAAATACTAGCTTCTGCCAAAATATTTGTAGGTAGAATTATTCGATAAATGTGTTGGTTGGAGGTAAGAGATATTCGAGCGCGCAAGCTTTTCAGTACACAACTATTACTAAAAAACATGATAAATATATATATGGACGAATACTCACGCATATATAGACAGAAATGAAGAACATGCATCGCAATGAAGGTGAAGAAAGGCATATTACCTAGTTTGAACATAAATACATGGGGAGCATATAGTCCGAAAGGTCAGGTTTTCAATTCTGGCAAACATGTAGCCGAAAGAAGACGATCATATATTAGCAAGTATTTTTCCATTCCCAGTG